AAGTACAAAAACAGGACCAGTCTGTCTGAGTTCTTCTCTGTTGCTCCTTTAGAATCTCTCTTGAGATTTTATAATCACCCATTTGCCATAATCACCCATTTGAATAAAAGAAAAAAAAAAAAAAACCTTACATTTGAAAAGAATATGTAAGGGAAAGAAAAATATATTGGATAGTAGGAGACAAATCTAGGTTCTAAATCTATTCATGTCACATACCAAGCTGCATCATCAAAAACAAAGAGTAGATACAAGGAGGGGCTTACACACATATGAAGATGAATGTTCCCTTTAGAGTCAGATTTCTATGATTTTTCAAAGTGTGCTTTCTAAGTATTAATTCATTCCCTGTAACAGTCCTGGCAGGCCTCCACTTGTGGCTGATTTTTAACGTTTCATTTCTACTCCACAGAAGCAAGTCCTTAGATTCTCTGACCCAAAATGAGTTAACTGCCCACCCCATTACCAATCCTGCAAGGAATTCTCTCTTACTGCTGCCTCAGTGTCTACGGATTTCCTTTTATCATTACTCCAGACTACATCCTCCAGTTGTTACCTGCTTCACTACTGATCCCAGCTCCATCCACAACTCCAGCCAAGATCACGAACTCTGAAATCACCATTCACACTCCTCCTGAAGCCTCTCTTCCCATTCTCTTTCCTCCAGCTAGTGGACACTATACCTCTTCTTCCCTTCCCACTCTGTAACTGTCACTTACCATTCCTATCTCAAAAGCCATCACCCTTGACAAAAAGGAGATTCCCACTGCCTAGGGAGTTATGAAAAACTGAAACAAAGAGAAAAAGAATTCCTGCTCCTACTGCCAAGGCTTTTATTGTAGGAAATGGGTGTTTCTAGCATATAGTAGAAGCACAATAATGTATACTAGTGAATAAAATAGCATCCCCTAACCAATACTCTTAAAGCCATTTCTCACAGTTACATTACTATATATACATGGTAGTTCTGTATTTCATGTACCCATGATGTTTTAAACAGTGTTTCTGTGGGTTGGCCCAGAGACCTCACTGCCATGATGGCATTGTTTCTATAAGAAAATGCTGCCAAACAATTGACTTACTAATGACTTTTATAAGCTACCTTTCCTTCCTCAGAAATGGCTTGTAAAATAGGGAAAATAAAAAATCTGTTAAGCAAAATAAGAAAGTTGACAGAGCATTACTTATTTACATGGTTATAACATAATTCTACATAGACATACAATTGTACAAAGAAACACAAAAATAACATATATATACAGAAATGTAAAAATTAAGTAAGTGATCAAATTGATCTCTCTCTCTCTCTCTCACACACACACACACACACATGCACATACACACATCACTCTTAGTCTTCATTTACAATGTGGTTATCAGCCTCCCCAGATCATCCCCCAAAATACTCATTTGTTTTAAGAAAAGGGTTTAATTAGTGGTGAGAATACATACAAAGGAAGTGTAGATCATAAGGTAACACCCAGAATCAAGAAAAACGTGTCTGGAAAAGGGAGAAGAAGAGAAGATATACACAAGAGCTAAATACAGACAGTATATCATCCTCAAAACATTTCCAAACAAGATCTTCTTCAGAAAATAAATGTGTGGAAGCTCTTACTCATGGTTATAGAAATCTAGCCATCTCTTTTTGATACTTCTTCTCTGCCCAAGAAGCAATTCTTGAGTACCTACTCTGTAGAGAGTGCTGGCAAAGTAAGACATACTTATCCAATCTAACAATAATTCCAAGACACCATTAAAAAAAAAAAAAAAAAACACAGCAAAAAATATGGCATTTATTGAAGTAAAGTCAGTAGAAGGAAGAGAATTAGTTAATAAAAGTCATGGAACAGATAGCAAACACTCATTTAGAGAGGATGTTCAGTAATACTCTAGAAGTGGGAATCAGCAAGATAAACCTAGGGGGCAAGCCAGTGGAGAACTGAGTGAAGAAGTCAGAAAAACAGTGGCTGAGGTTTATGAAAGGATTTTATATGCTGAGCTAGAGTGCTTAGGTGTGACAAGTCAAGTCACCAGGTATTGTGGGTTCTGAAACAGGAAAGTAAATTGAACACGTATGAACACAGGACATTGTTACGGCATCCCATCTAGACTGTAACTCACAATTTTCATGTATGTGTTATTATTGACCTGACAGATACCAGTAGCACTGTATCTGCTACTTCAACATAATCTTTTATATTAAAAATTAAAGTGAAGAAAAATGCCTTAAGAAAGAAAAGGATACATTTTTATGTGCATCAAAAGACTTCTCCAAAAGAGTAAAAAGAGAACCTACAGACTGGGAAGAAATATTTGGCAGTGACAGATCTGATGACTCCAACACCTCAACATCAAAAAGAAAATCCAATTAAAAAATGGGCAGAACACATGACAAACACTTCACCAAAGAAGACACCATTGTATAGCAAGGATCATGGAGCTGGCGCAGAATCATCATTTTGTTCTGCTGTGCACGGGGTCGGAAACGACTCGATGGCACCTAACAACAACAACAAAGAAGATACTCAGGTGGCCAACAAACACATGAAGAAATTTTCACGATCATTAGCCATTCCAACCAAACCAAACTCACTGCCATCAAGTCGATTCTGACACCTAGCGACCCCTCCTTGGGTTTCTGAGGTGGTATCTCTACAAACGAAGATTGCCCAGTCTTCCTTTGGAGGCATGACTGGTGGGTTTGAACCACCAGCCTTCTGGTTAGCAGTCAAAATTCCTTGGGCACTATGACACCAAAGCCATTAACCAAAAAAAAAAACTCACTGCCATTGAATCAAAACAATGAGATACCATCTTACCCCAGCACTAATATCAAAGTTCAACAACACAGAACATAACAAATGCTGGCAAGGATGTGGAGCGATTGTGACTCTCACACACTGCTGCGGGAATGCAAAATGATACAACTACTGTGGACAACAGTATGGCAATTTCTTAAAAAGTTAGAAACAGAAATATTGTTTGATCCAACAATTCCATTACCAGGTATATATCCTAAAGAAGTGAGAGCCATGACATGAACAGATAAATGCACACCCATGTTCATCACAGCACTATTTACAATAGCAAAAAGATGGAAACAACCTAAATGTCTATCAACAGAGGAATGGATAACCAAATTATGGTACATACACACAATGGAATACTATGCAACACTAAAGAATGATGTAGAATCTGTGAAACACTACATAATGTGGATGAACTTGGATGACATGATGCTGAGTGAAAAAAGTCAATCACAGAAGAACAAATATTATATTAGTTCAGTATTGTAAAAAGTCAAGGAAAAGTTTATTTATGGAAGTAAACTTTCTTTGTTGGTTATCAGGGATGGGAGAGGTAGGGAGGGAACACTGCTTAGATAGATAGAGACAAGTACTGATTTGGGTGAAGGGAAAGGCAGTATACCAAAACCGAGTGATCAACACAGTAAGGAAGTCACAGAGAGGTGCACAGGAGGTACAGACAACAAAGATAAACTCTTTTACATATACATTAATTACCATGTTATCAATGACAACAAACATTAATCTATGGGTAAAAAGATGGGTAGAAAGGCTGAATGATCAGGTACATCTAGGCACAAGGGAATATACACATGACCATATAAAAGGTTGGCAGATGGTATTTCCACACACATATTTGTATATGCTATAAGACTGTCCATATAACTAGAACTAAGAATGGGCAAGGGAGCTCTGGTAGCATAGTGGCTAAGACACTTGCCTGCCAACCAGACGGGTGGCGGTTCAAACCCACCAGCCACTCCTCGGAAGGAAGGTTGGGCAATCTTACTTCCATAGTGATACTGCCTCGGAAACCCAAGGAGGGGTCGCTATGAGTCGGGTTTGACTCGACAGCACATAACAACAACAACAACAACAAGAATGGGCAAAGTTATGATAACTTCTTAGGTACAGTCAACCACTTTGACGGAGTGAGTTGTTGGACCTGCATACTCAATACCATGCTCGCAGAGGATAACAAGCTCAATTGGCATAATAATACTACACAAAAATACTCTTCTACATCCTACCTCGGTGAGTAATGGGGTTTTCAAAGCTTGCAAGCGGCCATCTAGATGCAACTATGGGTCTCTCCTCATCCAGAGAAAAGAAGAATAAAGAAAACCAAAGATGCATGAAACAATTAGTCCAAGGGACTAGTGGATCATGCAAATCTCAGCCTATATGACCATGGGACCAGAAGAATTAGAGGGTGCCTGGCCACCACTGTCAGCCATTCGGAAAATAATCAATGCAGGAGAGCCTGGATAAAGTGAGAAAACAATGTGTAACAAAACTCAAAAATCATTAAAAAAAAAAAAAAAAAAGACCATGTTTACTGGTCTGATTGAACCTGGTGAGACCCCTGAGACTATAGTCCCTATATACCCCTCAGGTCTGAAACTGAACTCATTCTCGTGGCTTCCAGACAAAAGATAGACAGGCATATAGGGTGAACATTTACATCAAGTAGCTACACTCTACAGAACAATCAATCATGGGAGAACAAACCAAACTCACTGGCATTGAGTTGGATCCAACTCATAGCGACCACTCCTCGGGTTTCTGAGGCAGTATCACTGCAGAAGTAGATCACCCTGTCTTCCTTCTGAGGAGTGACTGATGGGTTTGAACCGCCAGCCATCTGGTTAGCAGTCAAATGCCTTAGGCACTACGCTATCAGAGCTCCCCATGGGAGAACAAAAGGGCAGTATTTACACAGAGTGATAGCTCAAGGGGCAGGAATACACAGGAAAGAAGAAAACAGGGAAGAGGTAACTATAGGGAGGAAGTGGGAAGAGAGCTGTTACGACGTGGGGAATTGCAGTCAATGTCATGAAACAAAGTGTATATGTACTGCTGTATGGGAAACGAATTCTCTCAATAAATTTTCACCCAAATCACAATAAAAATTAAAAACAAAGAAGAAGGGAAGGGAGAGATAGCTTTATGCTTCTGTCCAGGCTGACTCACCTCATAGAAAAGCCCTTCTGGGAACTGCTGGAAGCACTGTGCACATACAAAGCACTGCTCATGGTACAGCTCGCCATTACTGTTCACGATCTTCTCAGCAGGTGCAAAACCTCCCTTACAGCGTTCACAAGTCGCATTGGCCAAAGCATTGGCCATGTTGCTGTAACACAAAAGGATGGAAGTCACGAATTGTCAACCTTTTTTTAGATTCAAGACCAAACAGCACAAAGAACTGAGGAACAAATTCTATCTGATCACAAAAATCATGTTTTATATACATAAAGGCCTATTTTTTGCTTGTACTAACTCAAATTGTTCTAATTTCTCTCCCCAGCTTCTAAGGTTCTGAAAGGGCCTCCTGTTTTGACTCTTTAACATGGCATTCCTCTTGCTACTGAATACACTATGCGTGAGTCCTACCATGTGCTAGACATTAGGGATAAAGATGAAAGAGGGCCCTCAAGGACCTCAGGTTTACAGTTTGATAAATAGTAATTAAAATACCCATGAGTGAACATCTCAAAGGTAATTTCTTTTCCTCTGAGAAAAAATCTAAACTGTATGTCAGCTGAAGGAGCTCTGGTAGCACAGTGGCTAAAGCACTTGACTGCTAACCAGAAGGCTGGCGGTTCAAACCCACCAGCCACTCCTCGGAAGGAAGGTTGGGCAATCCTACTTCCGTAGTGATACTGCCTCGGAAACCCAAGGAGGGGTCGCTATGAGTCGGGGCCGACTCGGACGGCACATAACAACAACAACAACAACGTCAGCTGAATGCCATATCATATCCCAGAGGTTATCTTTTTATTAGATCTGTCAAAAGCAACCGCTTAAGTAACTTGTTACACTAGCCAAGATGCCCTAGTCCTATGAATAAATTGCTGAACAAATAATGAATACTATTATTATTGGATTTTTTTGAATTAATATTCTATCTTAAAATCACAGAATATTATAAAGATCATTTTACAGATGATGAAATGGAAGTTTAGAGAGGAAAAGTGACTAGCCTAACGTCAAAGCTATTTAGACAATGGAAGACAAAGGACTAGAATCCAGGTCCCCTAACTGGTGTAGTGCCTATTTGACTGCTAACCAGAAGGTGGAGGTTCAAACCCACCAGCCACTCCTCAGAAGGAAGGTTGGGCAATGTACTTCCATAGTGATACCACCTTGGAAACTCAAGAAGGGGTCCTTGTTTGTTTGTTTTTGGTTTAGCTCATAAAATTACAATGTCAATCACGTAAGATTACAATATCAATTGGCAGCACATGAAAGGACATGACAGAGAAGCTCCTATGCTTGACAAATCAGAAAGATGAAACCAGGACAGTCAAATACATAGCCAGTAATTTGGGTAACTCCCTTACTGGTAATTTCCAGGGCTTCCAATAGGTTCATTCCAGTTTTATCTCCTCCTGATAATTTGCATTTCTACCCTAGATACACTGAGTCCAAATCTACATTTTAACAAGATCCCCAGATGATTCTTGCACACTCTAATTCCTTAAAACACACAGAAGGCATCCAATGAACGGTCCCAAGTTCTACCTAACCACGGTGCAGTTTGGGAGAAGAAAAGCAAAATGGCATTATTCAATTAGATAATTATTTATTCTCCTTGGATTTAACATAAAGAACTCTTTTGTTTCTGAAATATTTCAAGGTGGAGGAGGTCCTTTGACAGAGCAGTCCATCACTAGCCTCTGTCTTCTGTCATTTAGCGAGTTTCTGTAAACCTTTTTAAGATTCCCACTCTGAGAATAAGCTCTACTTGCATGCCTGGACCCTAGTACACCTTCTGACTTCTCAGATATTTAATCAATCTACCCTGTAAAGCTACTACCAAAGTTTGTCTGAATCTTCACAAAGACTCTGTGAGGTAAGGGAAATGGGAAGTCTCCATTTTACAGAGAGGTTAACCGAATTGCCTCATATTAGCTTCCAAATGTTGCTGTTTCTTTAGGCAACTGCACCATACCAAACTATCTTGCTACCCCCCCACCCCCACCCCCACCCCAAGGGCAGAAAATGCTGCAGTCTGCCTTCTCTCTGGAGAAAGTTTCAAAGAAGAACATTCCTATTTTACAGTCTTGCCATAAGTAACTCCATGCAGAAATGTTCATAATTCTGTACCAATCAAAACTCAACTTTATTTAATAGGCTTGGATATAAAATTAAACAATTAACAAAAAGGGGAAAGGGGCAGCCTTACTGTTTGGCAAACCTGGCTAAGGCCTCAGGCACCTTATCTGCTCTATTATAAGAACGAAAATCACAACCGCCACTTGGTCACTTCAAAATTATTATGGGTTGGAGAGAAAAATCCATAAAATTCCCTTCTTCTCCTGGCTTTGTCATAAGGCAGATGAATGTGGCAGTTTTAGCAAGGCTCTGAAGAGCTTTCCTCTGACCAATATCCACAGGTGCCCCCTGAAGAAAAAGTATAAGCCCCACACCTGCCCTTTTAAGTCTTCAGTACTGCCGTGAGAATGAGATAAGAAAAAGCATATAAAACCATTTAGGAACTCAAATACAAAGCACTATTAATAATTCTAAACCCTCTCAAAAGATTCAATAAGTCATCCATGATCTTAATAGAAGTCCAAAAGAGCTGGAAAAGGAGAACATACTGAAATACCCTGATACGTTATCACTTAGATTAGCAGTTCCCAAAGTGTGGGGTCACTATGGCTCTTTCAGGAGTCTGCAAGGCCTCCCTTTTTAAACTACATATCTGTGGGAGACCCCATTATCTTCATATACTTCATCTAAAACAACCTATTGCAATAGGTTGGATGCAGAAACAGATAGATAGGAGACTCTGTCTTTTATTCAGACAGACATAAATAAGAGGTTGCAAAAATAAATGTAAAAACAATGCCTTTCTTCCCACTCACTTTTCTTGTCTTGGAAAACAGTCTTTTTTCATAAAAACATTCATGTTAACATGTAATCAAATTGTTATTTTTAGTGAATATTTTAAAGTTTTCTCAGTTTTAATTTCTAATACACTAAAGACTGATAAATAGTAGCGTCCTTAATAACTTTTAAGAGTGAAAAGTGGTCCCAATATCAAAAGAATTTTATAATCACTGAACTGTACAATATTCTTGTGATCTATAGGGTTTCCATTGGCAACTTTTTGGAAGTAGTTTCCTAGTCTGTAAGCTCTACTGAAACCTATCAGTGTGGTACTGCGGTAGCTTGCATGTGGCTAGAAGCTATGCCATTGGTATTGCATTACATTACAGACTACTTATATTCAAGTTCAAATACTCAAAATACTTAGAATTAAGAACTAGGTGGGCACATTATAAAGCAAGCATGAAGTAATTTGCCACACATAGCAAAAATAAACTAGTTTTAGAGAAATAATGTAATATGCATTTCTCAAGAAGTATTACTTTTAATAATAAGCAAAGAAAGAAAACAGAAAAAAATGAAAAGAAAGGGAATACAAAACAAAAGCATTGGAAGAAACTTTTCAGAGAGAAAAAATATAAATCTCAGCATCCTAACTGAACTGTTCACCATTTCTTTCTTTTCTTGTCTTTGATCCTTCAGCACTATGTATTTTTCTATACTTAACTTTATACTTAATACTATGTATGTTGTTACTTTTTAAAAGTCATGAATGAAACTATAGAATTAAATATGCAGTTATAGCTGTTATTCTGTCATAATTAGTAGCTAATTTTTCAGAAAAAGATTTTTACTAAAAAGTGTTGAGGACAAAGAGTATAAATGGATATGTGAATATATGTATATATACATATCTACACCTTTAATACAGAACCTTCATAATTGGCCAATCATAACTGATTTAATTGACCTATTTCCACAAATCAACTTCACACAGAAAATTTGATACCATCTAGCTTTCCACTGATTCACATGCTCTATTTACTACAGTATATGGAACTCATTTTTCTGGTCTTACAATGCCAACAATATGTAAATCCAAAAAGGATCTTGAAAACTCACCAAGTAGTGAAAACATTGGTGACAGTATAATGACAATTATCCAGTTACTTAAACAAAGCTATTCATGGAGTGTGAAGATAAATTACATTTGTTGCAGTATCACACAGAATGCATTAACAGAAATAGAGAATCAGGTCATTTACCTTTTTCCTTATCTTACATTTGACAAATTTGGGATTTGGAATAATTTTAACTTACAACTTTCAATCAGGCCAACAATCTTACTTGTGTTGGTCTCAAGGCTACTCTGTACAATATTGAAAAACAAAAATCTGTTTGCTAAAGTTCGTTGAACAAAATCATTTAAACTAACCATTTGGAGTTCTTTAACAGCATGTTTTTACACACACATATTCACACACACACACACACACATTAGTTCCACATCATCCTTATTTCGTTCAATCTTTTGGAGACAGTATTTTGAAACCCTATTAGCCACCTTCAAATTTCAGATTGTTAAACATAACAAAAATTTATTTCCTTATAGGCAGTCTTTAATTCAATTATTAACTGATTCCCCCCATCCTGCCCCTTGTCTCTGTAAAGTTTTAGAGTATAAATTTTTTCTATTATAAATCCTCTTAGTGATAATTCTAAAGCTTCCTGCTTTGAATTATATATAATGAAATTGTCTACTATTATTGGGGACCTATTGAAGACTAAGATTTTATTATTCTTACTTTAAAGGTAGCATTTTCTGTCACATCTGCATTTCATCTAGTGGAAACTTTTTACATGGCAAAGCAACCTACCTGCTTCATAAAAAACTACCACTGAAAGTAAAGTAAATAAAACTGTTACTAGTCCTGTCAAAATGGCTAGTGAACTGACAGCCCAAGAACCCTAATCTGGAATTGTAGTTCTCCAGGAGATGAGACACTTACAATTTCGCATAAAAGTCACAAAACTCCTTGTAGACTTTTACGTCACTGTGCCTGCGCTGCAGTTTGGACACAGCCCTCTCGTCTTCATTCTCATTAGCCTCATGGGCATTGTTAAGGACCGTCTGAGAGATTTCTTCATTCTCTGGGATAGCACAGGGGCGCACTCTGCTCGGGAACGCCATCCTTGAGTACTAGAAAGTTCTGAGCTCAGAGAAGAGCAGCAGGACACAGGAACAGGAGAAACAGTATCTAGGACTCCCCCACTTCCCAGTCAGGGGTCACTCCCACTATTCCCACAAACGTCAGCCTGCCAGGCTTGCCAGGGTCTCTACTCGAGCTTCAAGTTAAGAGCTCCAGCAGCAAAGCAGTCAGTCAGCCAGCATCAAAGCCCTGCTTTACTGAGGCTTTTTGGAAGCTCTGGAAAACATTCCACAAAGTTGTAGCACAGCCTTTGCAGGAGCAGTCTTCTCAGTGGACTGTGGCTGTAAACACTACATTAGAGTAATAGAGGGCTGCTCTGTAGGACTTCAGGAGCTCTGGTATTGCAGTGGCTAAGACATTTGGCTGCTAACCAAAAGGTCAAAAATTTGAACCCATCACCCATTCCACAGGAAAAAGATGAAGCAGTCTGCATTCATAAAGATTTGCAGCTTTGGAAACCTTAGGGGACAGTTCTACTCTGTCCTATGGGTCACCATGAGTTTAAATCGACTCGATGGCAGTGCATTTGGGTTTGGGTTTTATAGGACTTGAAGAAAAAGAAATATACACATGCCCTGGGAATTTGTTATCAGGCTTAAACAAAACTAACACTGTACTTCTGAACTTTGGTGGGTATAAGAATCTTCTGGAGAGCTTGTAAACATCCCCAGAAATTTTACATTTCTAATTAGCTCCCAGGTGAAGCTGATGCTGCTGGTATACTCTGAAGAGCATTAGCAACCTTCTCTGACATGTACTCCCATAATTCCCAGGGCATTCTTGCCATACATGCCTTTATATTTGTTTTTCCCCATTAGTCTGTGAAGTCCCTGAAATTAAGAGCTGTTTTTGCTTTTATATGGCAAGAGCTCAATAACATGGTTGCATGAATGGACTCAAGCAGAAAAAGAAAAGACATGGAGTTCAGCTATAACCTCCCCCCAACTCCATCCCCCCGCCCCCATCTCTAGCTACCACTGTGCGACTTAAGTGAGCCAAGTTCTTGGTCTTTATCATGACCATATCAGGATGCCATTAAATGTGCTAGCCAAAATAGGAGCTCTGGTGGCGTAGTGC